GAGGATATGCCCCCCCACCATCCCACACACACACAGCGGCTCAGCGGAAAGTCTGCAGGCTTATGACGCTAAAAACTGGATTTCGATACCCAAGGTGGGCAAGGCACAGATATACAATTGTGTACTTCTATACTGTAATGTGTTATTGATTCGACCAGACCAACAAACCTTAGTTTATTACCTCATGTCTGCAAAATACATATAATGCTTGTTTCAGACGTGACAACATCTTAAAGAAATATTCTCGGGTTGGTCAAATGGATTTAGCCATATTCTTTCCCTACTAATGCATGAAAAAATAAAACTTAATGGAGAATCAACAGAATGGTGAATACTATAGGGAAAGGCGAATTCGCAAGTATTTCTAAATTTAAGTTAAAGGGTAACTAGTAACCAAAAGAGAGAGAGAGAAAAAAAGTCAAATATTATCATGGAAAATAGTCGTGATGAAAAGCAGTTAGATGCACGGGCGTCCAAACATTGCACAGGAAGCACTGACCATGTGAGTAGTACCCTTGAACTTTTGAGTAAGAAACATGTTAGAGTATAACTTTGTAAGCGATAAGCAGTATACAGAATGCTGTTTGTGAATTTAAAGATATAAACAATAATCATATATAAAGAGTGGTCGTACACTCATACTTTATAACGGATGATTTAACTTTACAAATCTTGAGCTAATTATGAGGAGAACAATATTTGTTTTAGCTACAGTGCAAAGAATACAGTTAAGACTTGATTAATGTTTTATAAGTGCAGTGTTTCCAGTTTAACCTAAGAATTTAACAGTTGGAAATTTTACAACAATATTATAAAGACAAAGTTTTACTTTAGGTATTTTTTACGATGTTTTAGGAGCCCTCCTAAGGATACCTGCTTGCCTTATTAGTGCGTTTAATTTCATTTGTTAACAGGAGCACCACTTAAAAATATTGTCTAAAAGTTATAGAACCTGACGCAAGGTAATAAGAGAGTTTGGAGAAGATGCCATTTCACCAGCGTACTGAGGTACTGTGTGCGTTATGTAATCTATAAACGTGAGAAAATAATGCTATTAATATATATGCCCCCAGTGGCACAGCGGTATGTCTGCAGACTTACAACGCTAGAATCCGGGTTTCGATACCCGTGGTTGGCAGAGCACAGATAGCCCATTTAGTAGCTTTGTGTTTAATTACAAACAAACAAATTAATATATACAAGATACTTATAAATGTTTTAAGGCAGAAACTTGCGGCAAACCAGCTTTAAGAGTGATACAATGGATTGTGATATTTGTGTTGATGTAGCTTTCGGTATGAGCTTTCAGGCCAGCTGTTATAAACGAAGGGAGTCGTTTTAATAAATAGTATTTCTTAAATTATGGACGAAGATGTCCATCATATCTATTAGTATAATCAAAACTCAGTTTACCCATTTCTCATTTGGGGAATATGGTGTTTACCTATTTCTCATTCAATGCCTTTTAATGCCTACCTTGTCGTCCGTTACGTACCGGAGACACTGGTATAGCTATTATAAGTGACGGGCAATAATATAAATTGTGGTCTTAGCATAGAAATTCATGCCTAATACGGCTCTTTTATTACACCATTGCAAGCCTCAGGTCATTACAGGTTCAACTGCCAATACTATAGGTGTCACACTGAAGAATATAACAGTCACCATTGGAAGGTTTGAATCTCTGTTTTTAAAACTGTGTTTCTACCCTAAAGGTTTTAGTCCACAATCTTTATTGTATAATGTAACTAACAATCTTACGAGAGTTCAAGTATAAAAGAATAACAAAAGAAACATAATATTTACTTGGTCGAGGTACTGTTTCCTATATTCTATATCGTATTTAACCCATGATATCACGGCACTGTAGATATCTTCTTCAGAAGTAACATTCAGTTCGTTGCATGATACCAAGTCTGAAACCTAAAGATGTACAAATGGGAATTAAATAGTTTAAAAAAATTAACAATTTTCTAACGACAAAACATATCTAAATTATAACACATCTATAGTTTGTAGAATGTGCAGTTCAACAATTAATTGTGCTATTTAAAAAAATCAAATTAACAGATTTACAGTGTCAGGTAATTAATTAATTAATGTTGTCAGTTAAGTTAAAGAATTAAGATAGTTATTTGCGAATCTATGAAAAAACTTGTCACACTATCAGTGGATAAACATTCGCATTATTTTATTATTATTATTAACGAAGTTTACTTATTACCAACAATGTCATTTATATATAATTAAAATAATATTTTAAACGTTTATATTAGAATTCAACTCCAAATATTCATGACTTGTGTAGACAAAACATATCTGAAATGTTGTTGTTAAATGTGTTATTTAAAATCTGTAATGTGCTAATTAAAAGGAAAGCATAAAACAAAACAGAATTCTGAAGTGCAGTTTGATTTTCCATAGCTTCGAAGTTTTCTGCGTTAAAATTAACATCCTATTTGTTTGTAATGCATATAATATAGTACTTTAAATATATTTTTGGCTGTCATCATGATCTAGCACAGCAGAGTTCTGCTATTAAACGAAAGGCATCCTGGGTAGCAATTCATAGCAGATAAAGGTATGTAAAAGTTTCACACACCTCTGATTTGAAATATGGAGTGGATTGATTAACATTAATGTGAAAATAAAAACATATGCAGGCTAATGATTTTCATCATAAACACTTGGGATACTTGGAGGCTTACTCTCTGGTTGTAGCATGCAAACTCAATATCTTAATTGGTTCAGTAACATGACCAGTCAGTAGATCTGCAGGCTCAAATCTAACTCTGATTTAGTTTTAAATTTCAAATAATTAACAATTATAAGCAATCATTTTATTCTAAGACGAATACTTCATTAATAATTAATTAGTGATAAATTTGTACCTTTTCATTGGATTTCTTTTTATTAAAATATTCAACTCTTTATGTCTTGATACGATGTTCAAATATTTTATAAACATTATAAATCGTTTATGTATTTCAAAAAAAGTATTATTCATGTCCATATACGTATTAGTGTACGTAAAATTATAGAAAGAAAAAACAGCGCTATTTTAGAAGATACTCAACACAATTATTTATTGTCAATTAACAACAACACAAAAAACATCTTTCCAATGGTTAATCGTCTCGTAATATTTACGTTATGCTCAATGGCAAGCCATCAGACAGAAGTAGTCATATTAATAATCCTTCATTGATGTGGCATGAAGATAGGTTAAAACTTGTTTTCAGTTACTTGACGAAATTGGAAAGTAACGAATTTTACATCAACTTACGCGATATTCGAACACCAGTCGATCCTTAATATAACCTAAAAACCACCTGGTGGAAATCGCATTTAATAAATCTTGATCCATTATCAAATTACCTCCTTGAAAGGCAGTACTAGGAATTCTTCTCCCAGAGATACTTCTTTGAAATTCTGGAGGACATATTTATGGGACTTCTGATGTAGTTCTTCACAATAATGGGCGTCAGCAAAACTTCGAATTCCCAAGCAGTTAGAAGGATGTAGCTGTCGGAAAAGAAACCTACAGCAAGCTTCTCGAACACTGGCTACCTGCAGAAGGCTAGCCGCCGGCAGAAGGGCCTACGGTGAAAAGTCAACGTTATTATAATACGGAAAAGCTAAGTAACTGTATTAAACATCGATCATGCTGAAGACAGACGGTTGTAATACCATACCATGACATTTTTTGTACTAAATATATAATAGCATTCTAGATATATTTTAGGATACGATTGTGGTCCAGCTGACAAGTTCAACTATTGAAATAAAGGCCCCCTGAATCCTGAGATAAGATGAGGGTATGATGTCCCTTAATTACTCATATTAGGTTAAATTTTAGTTATTAGTCGTGATTTGTTTGTTTGTAGTCAAGCATAAAGCTACGCGTTGGGCTGTCTGTGCTGCTCACCATGGGTATCGAAAACCATCTTTAGCGTTATAAGCCTTCAGACTTGCCGCTGTGCCACTGAGGCATTAGTTGTTAAATGAGCAGGTAAGGTATTTGTGAGCATTAGTATCATTATAACTGAACTATTGCGTCAAAGTCGCATTTTTATCGTTAACTTTCTGGTTATTTCAAATTTAACATTTCGTTTATTTCAACGATGAAAATAACCCTGATGTGTACTTTTTTTAGCATATGGCACACCCTGGTGAACGAGGTATTTTATATTATTTTACTTATATTGAAAGGGATATTTACAAGAGTAGACCAACCTAAATCCGAGTTTCAGAAAGTCTATTTTTAAACATATTCAATCTTTGATCTTTTGGCAGTCAAAATTAGATTTTACATATTGTATCTTTCTACATTTTTAACAGTGTATAGATGTATGTAGCTTCTGCAAGCTCAACCAATCCATTTTCATAAAATATAGATTGTTTAAGATTTTTTTTATATTTCGTTTGGCCAAAATAAGATTCACCGTCTTATGTTCTTTTTAAGGCGCTTGCTTACTACTATTACTGAGAACTAAACCATCTGAAACTGTTAGAGTATTCGTGAAATCATAGTTTATTTTTGAATAATTAATTAGTTATTTTAATGTATGATATGATATTGCTTGGGCACCTTTTACCAAATTTTATTTTTCTAAATAATACGATTTCCACTCACGTTAGTGTAACATCTAGGTAATTATAGTGATCGTAGTAAAGCTTTTCTAATTAAAGCTGATTAACATGGTCAAAATGTACAAGTCTACAAATATATTAAATTATATTAAAATAGGATATGGTGTTCTCAACATCTTATTGGTATCAATATGGTAAAAAAAGCTGACATTCTTTATATAGTTAAAAGGAGAATCATAAAAATATATATTTAATAACTGCTAGGCTCTTTCGAACTGAAAAAAGAATCATTCACGGAAAGGAGAAACGGCCCGGCATGGCCAGGTGGTTAGGGCGCTCGACTCTCAATCTGAGGGTCGCGGGTTCGAATCCCCGTTACACCAAACATGCTCGCCCTTTCAGCCGTGGGGGCGTTATAATTTGACAGTCAATCCCACTATTCGTTGGTAAAAGAGCAGCCCAAGAGTTGGCGGTGGGTGGTGATGACTAGCTACCTTCCCTCTAGTCTTACACTGCTAAATTATCGAAACCCGGTTTCTAGCGTTGTAAGTCCGCAGACATACCGCTGTGCCACTGGGGGGCTAAAAGTTTGTAACAGTACAGTGACACTCGTATATCCGTAAATATATCATAATGCATTGTTGAATATATTGATCGTTGGAAATTACTAAATATATTGCATACACCGAGCATTATGTAGCCTTAAGACCGAACCAATATGAATTAATTTGTTAATCTATTTGTTATATGTCTGATGTCTTCAAAGATCTAATATCTATATAAATATAATAATACTGTCTGTTGTCTGTCCATGTAAATACTTCCCAAGGTGTGGACGGATCTTCACCAAAATTGGTGTGGAGAGTGAATGGGTCCATAGGGAGAAACATATGAATTCTCAGCTTTTTGCGGTTTTTATGGGCATTTTACCTCACCTCCTGTGGGCGGATCTTCGCCAAATTCAGTATGGAGCTCCATGGGAAATTACATACAAAGGGAAGAAACTTTTCATGTCCTAAGATAACCTTTCATTAATCATGAATTAACATAACTTCCGTCCAGGGGATGGGTACTCCAACTAGTTAATAATAAGCTATGAAAATCGAAAGTAACCGAGTACTTGGAGTTCCAGTTAGTGTTATTTGTGGTTTGTTTGTTTCTAATTAACCACTAAGCTACACAGTGGGCTATCTGTGCTCTGCCCGCCACGGGTATCAAAACCCGGATTTTAGCGTTGTAACTCCGCATATATACCGCTGTGCCACTGGGGGGCATTATTTACGGAAGAAATTTTTAAGATGATTACAGCACTATCACAAAAACGTTATATATATATATATATATATATATATATATCTTTATTATGACCATAGATTTCCCACTAGTATTTCGAACGAAGTACTTTGTGGCTTTTCAAGTATTATAGAGATACTACTTATATAAAAGTTTATCAACAAAAATTAATTGAAAAACGAAAAAAATATTGGTTCATCTCTGTATTATTCATAGCACGATTCAATTAAATGTCTTTTGGTTTTATTGAAAGAGAACAATTTTGATTACATTTTCTTTATTTGACCCAAAAGAAGTAGAAGAGTGAATTTAATGAGAACATATGTATTTCATATTTATCGCAAAGCTATTAAGGCCATCTGCTGTCGTTCATTATTTTGAGCTACTGACCAGAGGAAAAGTAGCCAGTCAGCAGCACCCTACCACTTCATTCACTGTACGGGCTTGACTGTCACTGTTATAATGCACCCACACCTTAAAGTGCGGGGGGTGGGATATTTTGCGGCATTGCATGGATTCGAAGTCAGCTCACCAGCTCCGAAATCCAGAGTACTACCGCAAGGCCTACCAGCGCTCTTAATGAAAATATAGTCGACTGTTATTTTTACACGGTTTAATATCTGTGGGTGGTGTTTATTCATTTTCCTATCGTTTATCACATATGCCAGTTGCCATAAGAGCTGTTTCTTAGATTTCGTGAAAACTACTATGCTAACCGTTCCTAGTTTTGAAGTAATATATGAACATCATCTACTGCCAACTCTGATCAAAATAGTGGGATTTTACTGTCATTTTTATAATACATCCATAGACCCAAAGTGAAGAGTGCAATTTGAGTTTGGCGATAACGGGACGCCAACCCGGCACACTAACCATTGGGCCATCATCGGATCATCAAACTAACTGAGGTCAAGTACCTTTTAACAGCTTCATTTCCCGACTTGAAAAGAACTGTCAATCACACAGTTTTTTTTTTTTAACTTACGTAGAAATATCATTTAGTAAGAGAGGCCGAGCGCGGCCCAATTGTTAGCATACCCGATTATGGGTTATATGTTCCATGGTTTGCGATCTGTTATCTTCAAAAAGTAAAATAAAAAATCGTTCTCTGCTTAGTGGGGCTGTGGTTGTGTTATAAGAGTGACGGTAAAGACTAATTTATCGATCAGAGTAGCCTATGTGTTAGCGGTGGGTGATGTTACTTAGCTGCCTTCCCTCTAGTCTACCACTTCAAAATTAGGAACGGCTAGCGCAGATGTCTCTGAGCAATTTTGGACGAAATTAAACAAACAAACAAAATGTTATCAAGAGTTAATAAATCATATTTTCAAATATCGAAGGGAGTGTAATACATACAATGCACTTATTTAATGTTACATTTGTAAAGCACGTTTACTTATAGAGAAATATATTCATAAAATATTTTCCGATTTTTAAGACATTTTGGTTATAATTAGAAAATACATACTTGCACGTTGTCTTCTGTAATTAGTACTTCACCAGTGTAGGCAAATTCAATCAACAAAGAGAGGGCACCACCGTCAATATCATGAAGCGTGACAGCAGCTTGATGCTTTTCAGCCATTTCGTCTGAAACATCAAAAGACAATAGACGTTAGTAGAATATTGATCATAATAATAATCATAATAATTGCTCATTGAAAACCATTTTCATCGTTCTTATTTCATAAAAGCATCAGCAAAAAAGGTAAAAATTTTTATGCAAGATATCACATAGATTTTTTAAACTCTGAAACGTTGTAAATTTACAAATACTTTATATATATATATGTATATGTGTGTGTGTGTAAAAATTATTTTGTGAATTAATACATTTTTTCGTGAACCCGAATTTCAAAATTTTTCAAAACAAAAGAAAATATATGTTGTTACACACACACACACACATATAAATAATATTTAATAAGTTGCATTAACTAAATGAAAATGATCATGATATAGCAGGAATGACGAGATTGAATATGAACGTTTGGGTCCCGAATACAAAATCTTTGGTAAGAGGTTGGGGTTCCGAAGACAAAGTCTCTGGTAAGAAGGTGGAATATTGTTGGGGTTCCAAAGATAAAATCTCTGGTAAGAAGGTGGCTCGTTAATATTGGCGTACCGAAGACAAAATCACTGAGGAGGTGAAATGTGAATTTTTGAGGGTTCTAAAGACGATATATGGTAAAAAGGTAAAATATGAATTCTGGGTTCCGAAACCAAAATCTTTAGTAAGACGGTGGAATACGAACAAAATATGTGGTAAGAAGGTGGAATATGAATGTTGAGAGTCCCGGGGACAAAACCACTGATAAGAAGGTGGAAATTTACTAGTATTTTGAGATGAAACGTAACTGTGCACGTAGTGTTCATGAAACCTCGGTCATGTTGTGAGGCGCGTGAATTCTTCCTAATACCATGTCATTCATTGCAAGCATGGACAGTTTCGTTCAGCTATTATGCATTTATATAAAGATGTCGTATTCTGTATAAATTTTCTTAGATATTTATTAACCCAATCGATATTCAAAAAATATTTTAAATTGACTAATATTTGGCGAGACCTTACCAACTCTGAAAACTATTATCATTATTGAAAATTTTGAAGGAGTTTTCCCAAGATAAAAATAGCACATTCGCTTCATTTCACAAAATAATAAAATTCATCGAAATTGACATTTCTATTGGCTTTGAAAGTTCAGCTTCTTTTGACCTTCGAAAGCTATTCCAAGTACTGAACAGCACAACATGCGTAAACTGTAATCAGGCTGCTACCTCTCAAGAACCTTAATTTTAATTACTAAGTGCTATTAAAACGTGTTTCATAAGGCACCTGCAGTGTGGGGCAAAAGTGACTATGCAGTTATTTTATTCAGAACATAGTTTAATTCTAACTTTGTTTGAAATCTATTTTGCCTTAGCCCTAGATAGGCCTATTTAGGCTTACAACAATGATGGTCAAAATGTCAAATGGACCCGCTCCAACAAAAAGACCAAATCAGCAGTCAATTCTACAATTTATCACACAAAACACTAGGTGAGGTAAATATTATTTAATTTGTATTCCTTCATTCATATCGTTAATATCCTCTGAACTTCCGAACATTGGAAATAAATTAGTCCTAAGTTTAAACATTGATTTATTGACGTAATTTATCTATCATTAAACTGACTACGGTTTCTAAATTATTATGTTAGTTAAGTAGTATGATAAGACCAAAAGTTGTCCTATAATATACATATTTTGAATGAGCTATGTAAGCCTAACTGGGGAATGTAACTCTAAAAGGGTGTATGCTACGTCTTAGAATCTATAGAATGACATTAATTGTACCAATGTCTCAAAATGAACAAATTTCAGTGATTTAGGCCAAGTAAATTAGTGTAAATTTAATATTCACAACTTTTGCAAGTAATAGTATATCCTTGATATAGTTGAACTGTACTAACTATATTGTTGAAATGCCGATGTGAAGCTGGGTTTTCAGTATAACATTGGTATGTAACAATTTAGTGCCTCAACGGAATCCCATCTTGATCCAGAAGCTCCATTGATTGAGACAACAATCAACGAGCAGCATTATGATCCAGCAAATTTTCCCTCTCAGCAACGTTCAGATGAAAATTACCTTGTGTATTTTCTTAGTGAGACTGCAAAATTTCAACCATCTGCAAACTTTAATTTTCCCGTCAGGAATGGAAGAAAGTACAATGTAGCGTGGAAACTCAACAGATCTTGGCTATGGTATAGTGTAAATAATTACACTGCATTTTGCTCTTACTGTCTGTGTTTAGGGAATTCGAATGACCAGTTGTCACTTGTTAAACAGGATTTTCAAAACTGGAAAAAAGCTGTTGGAAAGAAGGATAGTTACTTAGACAATCATAGAAGCAGCATTGAACATATATCAGCAAGCCAAATGGCCCTAAACTCTCTGTACTGTATGCAGAATGCTGGAAAAACATACATGCCTAATTTAATAAGCAAGAAGATGATGCTAAACAGAGATAAAAAACGGAATTATGCCCATTACAGATATCATACTTACTTTGTGCCAACGAGGCATTGCATTTAGATGAAATTGGCAAAAGGAAGAGGGCAACTTCAGTTTCTTCGTAAACTGGGCAACCAAGTATAATGAAGACCTAGCAAAACATCTTTAACATGCTAGCAAGGCGAGGAAATGTACATCTCCACAGATTCAAAATGAGATAATAATATTGTGTGAGTACGAAATAAGATCCCAAGTATCCAAGTCAATTACACAATACTGGGATTTATTAGCAGATAAAATCCAAGGTTCCTCCACCAGTGAACAAATCAATATATTTGTCAGGTATGTACAGAACAATGAGGTTCAAGAGGATTTTCTTGGCTTTGTTCGGACTTGTAAAATGGATGCTGATACAATAAGTAGTAAACTAGTTTCTGCTCTGAATGACTGGAGACTAAATATGGACAACATAGTAGGTCAAGAATATGACGGGGCAGTTTTCATGATCTCAAGCAAAAATGAAGTTCAATCTAGGATCAAGAACAAGTATGAAAATATTGTCTATGTGCACTGTCGCTCACATGTGTTAGCATTAGCTCTTGCAGCAAGTTGCAGGAGCATTTTACAGATTCGCAATTTATTTGACAAAGTGGAAAAGCTAACGTGTTTCTTAATGGAAGTGCAAAGAGAAAGGAGATTTTTCTAGCTGTAGATAAACAGGTATTCAAAGATAAGGAAACATGAAAACATTTAAACGAATAACTACAGAGTGATGAAAAAGACATGGAGGAGTTCCATAGCTCAAATGATGCAATCAAGTAAGGTTTGAAGAGAGAGAGAGAGACAGTGCCCAAGTTCAACCCGATCGATGGACTGCTAAGATTTATACTGTGTCATCACTGATAGCCAAGTGTGACTGTCATAGCTGCATTGGAAATAATTCAAGACGAAAGCAGTGGTTATGTTGCAGTAGCAAGTAATGCAGAGTCGTACGTAAGGCTGATGACAGATGGATACTTCCTTACATGTATTCATGTGGCACAGTTTGTACTAAGCTATTGCGTTTCAGTTACTAGAACACTGCAAGTAGTTGACTGTGATTTGGCCAAAGTATATGCATATGCTAACTTGTCCAAACAGGCTATCAAGAAAGCAAGATCAAACGATATTTGGGACAAAGACACTTGGCGAATACAGCTGCAGAAGATACCAGCTCACAGAGTACCAAAAGGTATTACAGAATCAATGTGTTTTATGTTTTCATAGACCATGCCGTTTCAGATTTAAACACAAGATTTGGAAATGAACACACAAGCTTGATTGCAGTTAATGCCCTTGTTCCCAGAAAACTTAAATCTTTACAAGAACAACATGTGTCGGATGTTATTTCGTATTAAGAGAAGTTTCTTCCAAAGGATGAAAATCTTGAAGTGGAAAATGGGAAGTGGGAGCTGCTGCACGATGATATACCAGTTGACATTCGCCCCAAGGATGTAATTGAATCTCTTGCAGCACGAGATTATGAATATTTTCCCAGTTCGCAGAGCATTGACTGTGAGCGGTGAAAAAGCTGTGGACCAGCACAAGTATGACTGAAGATCACCCCAGTGGACTGCCACTGATGTTAGTTCACAGAAAACGTATATGATCCCACTCCAACGACAATTTTTCCAAGTCAAACTGTAGCTTACTCCTGAAATAGTAGGTCTACATCAGTACTTACAAAGTTTTGTAGTTTGCCAGTTTTGTTTTGCAGAAATAAATCATGGTGTTTACAAATTGTGAACTGTCCGTAATTCCAAAAAATCTCTTTTCATTTATAAGGCCAACCTTAATGCATGAAGTATTTCTAGACTGAAGTACATTGTATTTTGCGGTTTCCATTGGTTTTCACTTTGTCTTCACTGAGCTAAGTTATGGTTATACATGAAAATATAAAAAGAAAAATAAATTTATGATTTACGAGTGTATTGTTAAAATAAAACTATGATCGACAATTCCAACATACACGTATGTACATATATATATGTGTGTGTTATGATACTGATAAACTTAAAGATATTTATAACTTCGTCCCGTTAAGCGTCGGTGTCTTTGTGAACGCTGCCCCCTGTAAAGTTGAGAGGCTACGGCCCTGGTTTCAACAGTAGAATTACACACAAATCCATGACCGCTTCATCCGTCGACTTGACTGGTATGTCTTTGTATGGAATGGTATGAATACGCTTTACATTCTCCAACTACTTGAAATACGCGACGGGTGGAACGGATATGTCGTGGAACCAAAATGTATATATATTACTTGTGTCACTTTTCTAGACAGAGGCCCTTCTTGATTATGTTGCCTGGGACACTTGGACGGCTTTTATCACTAATCTTTATGTTAGTGGATTCTCATCTGTTACAAAACGCCACACTTTTCTTATTTTCTTTGTTCTCCAATGCACTTATGTACAAAGGGTATCCCCGTTTTGAAAATACATCTTTTTGATTAGAGTGTATGAATATTTTGAATTGGAAAGAGCTGTTTCATACATTTCCCAAAAGCAATAAAATGTTTGGTGACATCACGCTACCTATGAAACACTAAACAATATGAAAATGCTATTCCACTGCGATTTTATATCGACTGTGATTGTCACCTGACCTACTGATTTGCACATACAAATTTTTTTATATGATGTACACAACTCTTTTGATATAAATATTTAAATTATATATCATATTTACAACATAAATATTTACAAATCTACAACAAACTTACTTTATCTGTAACACACATTATGTAGTCCATTAGATTTAACAGTTTCGGAACCTCCATCTTTACTGCACTTAAGTTATCACAATGTCAGTCAAATTAACGTAAATTGGTCCAACGGACCTAAAGTTAATGCTTCATTACCATAACTCCTATGTACATTATGGCCAATATAACAAAACAAACTTCACTTTCATACCTTACCTAAAGCTAATGCTTCATTACCATAACTCCTATGTACATTATGGCCAATATAACAAAACAAACTTCACTTTCATACCTTACCTAAAGCTAATGCTTCATTACCATAACTCCTATGTACATTATGGCCAATATAACAAAACAAACTTCACTTTCATACCTTACCTAAAGCTAATGATTCATTACCATAACTCCTATGTACCTTATGGTCGATATAACGAAACAAACTTCACTTTCATACCTTACCTAAAGCTAATGATTCATTACCATAACTCCTATGTACCTTATGGTCGATATGACAAAACAAACTTCACTTTCATACCTTACCTAAATCTAATGATTCATTACCATAACTCCTATGTACATTATGGTCGATATAACGAAACAAACTTCACTTTCATACCTTACCTAAAGCTAATGATTCATTACCATAACTCCTATGTACATTATGGTCGATATAACGAAACAAACTTCACTTTCATACCTTACCTAAATCTAATGCTTCATTACCAAAAATCCTATGTACATCATGGTCGATAAAACAAAACAAACTTCACTTTCATACAAAGCTTCATTTGTTAGCCTTCACACAGGATAGATAGATTAGTGTTTCTCAATTTTTTCGGTACCAAGGTCCTGCTCGCTGCTTCTCTAAACTGTCGGGGACCACTGAAATGCAAGTACTACGCAAACCATACGATTTACATACGAATATTCCTTAAGTTTTTGTTTGTTTGCTTCGTGAAATCTCACAGACCGGCAAGTTGGTTGTGACGGACTGACGGTTGAAAAACAATGAAGTAGATTTATCATTTGAAGAGCACACATGCTATTAAAAACATTTAATTTTGGAAAGTGTGTGAATAATAAAGAATCTTATTATATAAAACCATAAAAAATAGCAGTCAAAATATATACAAATTACAAACAAAAATAAAAATCTGAAGCAATTGGGCCACATACTTACTTACAATGTCAATTATGAAATTAATTACGCCTTTATCTTTCATTCACTGTGATCTGTTCATATGGGATACAAAGAGCTCTTCCGTTGAGTACCGTCGGAGTACATGCGTCGAATCTAGAAATTGTTTCTATGTATCTTTTAAGTGTTCCTACACAGGTGATTAGTTGTGCTATACATACACCTAGGGGTCTCCTAATTGTAAGTATATCACTAATGACTATCGGAACATGATGGTAATTTGTTCAATCTTGTACTAGTTTTCTCTAGCGAAGCTCCGGCAACTATAATTTGTCTTGTTTAGAGTTTTTAGGTGGAAACTTGTGAATTAGTTTTACTTATTTATTGGTTTTCCTTGTTTGACAGTGTATTTGCGTTTGTACAAACGCTCGAACTGTTTCTAATAACCTTTAGGGTTAGTTTACACTGAAACAAGAATTCAGTGTTGACTGATTTCCTTTTATTATTATAATACTGTATGCCATTGGTGTAAAACAGTTGATTAGGGAAGATGAGTCAAATGAGCACAACAGATGCAAACAAAAAGGGGGAGGGCGGTGGCTGAATATATGTTTGGTAAGTTACTTTTCTTTTTTCATAGCAGTTTCATGCTTTTCGAGATTTAGTGTCGTTTATAAAACTAGAAAATAATAATTACTATAAAGAAAGTTTTACTGGACTGAGTACATCAACTAATTTCAAAGGGGGAATGAGCCTCATAAATGTAATTTTTTTTTAATATTTTTGAATGAAAATAGAAATGAGACATTTTGCTATTATTATTAATTCTTCAATAAGGGTGACATCATTTAAGGGAGGGTGAGAATGTTATGACAAGAATGGAAGAATAGGGCTTATGAAAAATCGTGCTAAAAGGCTCGACTTTATAAACTCTGAGAAATAAACAGCCACGTGGGATTAACAAATTCAGGAAAGTTTTGAGAAATAAACAACTATGTGGGATTAACCAATTCAGGAATGTTCTGATGAATTATCTGCCTCGTGTGCTTAATCAACTCTGGAAAGTTTTGAGAAGCCAGCAACTATGTGTACTTCATCAATCCAGAAAAGTTCTGAAAAATAAGTAGCCATGTGGAGTTAATCAACTAAGGAAAGTTCTGAAAAATAAGCAGGCCTTCTCAGAGGCTCAGAGAGGCTAAAAAAACAACAAAAAACGATGACACATGAAAACAAATTTGAGGCCCCCTTTGAGCTTGAGATCCAAGCCAAATGGCCCTAGCTAAGTGTGATTAACAAACTATGGAAAGTCCGCAGAGCAAACAAAGAAATTAAAACAGTGGAATAAAATGTATTATTTAACTTAAGATTAGACCTGCTTTATCATAACAGTATATTTTCCAAAATTAGGCTTATCAGACTGAGGAAATGTGATATGAATGGAAAGAGCATTTATATAAGAAAAGCGACAGTTACGAAACCTTTATCAAAAATGCATGTAATATTATCTGTTATACTAATGATTTATTTTGTAAAAGTATGACATAAGATTCACCTACTGTTGAACATGGCGTGAAAATAGGCACTGCATGCTGACAAAACTACCTTGTGTGCGACAATTGACCTATCATCCACTATCAATGTGACGTCACATAGCTGCCCTTTTTCTCTCATGTCATGAAGGGCAGTAAAAGCAGCCGCCTGATGATCCGAATTGACGTGATGAATCTGGAAAGGACGGGCGGCATTCGTGGCTAACGTTTCTAGCATGTTGACTTTAGTCGATGAAACGTAGCGTCTAGAATAATCGTTTAAATGTGAAACAGAAAATCACAATTAGCGTTTGTTTTATGAAAATCTGATTATAAAACATCAAATTATCATCTATACTGTCAATTTTGTTATTTGTAAGAAATTTTCACACCAACTTAAGTATTCATTAAATCCCACTTTAAAATATATTCACTTTGTGTGTGCTTTCTGCTAGACTATGTGATGTGTCACTTTTTGGAGATATTATATTTTTATAACTTATTACTCACACATATTGTTCCGATTCTTTAAATTATCAATAAAATACATTTCATATTTCTAATATCTTATGTTTCACAAAATTGCCAGAAATCCGATATTTCAAATGTAGAAAGAGGTATATGTTAATGACTGCTCTTTAGTTTGAGTATTTTTTTTTTTTTTTTACTTTAAAGATGAAAGAAATGTTTTCATTCTGTCTTAAGTATGATAATAAGATATGCTTGTTCATAAGTTAATAAATTTGAAAAATAAACTTATGATATTTGCTTCAGAGAATGGGGCACTTGAGTGGCTTTGGAAAATTTTAAGAGAGTATGTTCTTTACTCTCAGAACACTAGGTTTTTAGGCTCCACATCTAGCCTTTCACTGAGCATTTACAGCAATAATTTATCCTTGTTTCTTATTAATGTAAAAATGTAAAAGAAAACTATGATAACTTTGATAGGGTGTTCTGAACATACCAACTAAATATAATTCCAAATGTATAGGTTGTCACGTTTTTTGCAAAAACCCTTTCCAAGAGGAAGGTAAATTAATGGAAAGTCTGCGCTTAGGGTCAGGTCTCAGGGTGTTCCTACTGTATAAGATTATAAGTGGTTGATCTTCTAATATGATTACAGGTTAGTTCAGGTTTAGAAACTGATATATGTTAAATTAATTACTAGTGCTTTATGATATAAAGAAAGGAGCGTTGTACCCGCGGAAAACTTTGATTTGAGAACCAGTAAGTATCTACTGAAACAACTGTCGACTGTGGCGTCTATCAAAGTCTTCTGAACGAAATAGTTTGGTGTTAGACATCAATAATACAGGTTGATGCACTCGTTACTGACATTGAACTGGTATAAATGTGCGGTGTCTACATGTTACCAAGTATGTGACAACATCAGAATATCACCTACTAAATCTTGGTAGAATCAATCTATCAGCATTTTAAAAACAAACTAGCCTTACTTCAAATGCTAAAAGTGATTTTTTTTTATCGATATTAACCATAACGTCATCAGCTAACGTACACATGCCGACTACGTACTTCGATCAGCCTAATGCTTCAGTGGTTATTTTTAGACATCAGAGAAAAGGTCCGGGAATTATGTAAAAGGTTAAGGACTTCTGTGCGTAACGTAGCACCATCAAAAGAACAATAGTCGCGACAGTTAATCTACGAGTTAAGTTTTGGTCTATACACCAATTTGTAATAAGAAATGGGTATACGATTAAACTCTGAGCACTAGTTTGGAAGTTAGGAATTACAAACTGAAGGCATCAGGGTGATTTTGATTAAGGAATTATATCTCGCTATGAGATTCACGCAACAAACTCGTACTTATCAGTAGTTTAAATCAGTTGAGATACACGCACAACGTTTAGAGCTCGTCTAGTATTTGTGGCATTTTACTGTATGGCTATTATTCTTTATTATTCAATTAGTGTAGGACTTTTGCAGTGTCGAAATAAGCTGTTTCTTATAATACTCTTTAGAATATCTTGAATACTCATATAAGTGCAAAAAATATGTTAATAGTAGTTCATCAAGTCACTTAACACTTTTACAGCAACACTTTTCAAGATATTATATAATTGTGAAACCTACTTGTGGGTACTCCGTAGAAAAACAACAGGGCCTAATCTGTTTATTATGCAGCGACTAACGTAAACCGTCGAAAACAAATTCCTATTCTTGAACACATTTGAACTGCTAAATAGACAAATAATATCTGATCGTTACTACTATTTGATATTAAAAGTGATTAGGGAGAACAAGAGATAATTCGCGCTCTGTAGCATGGCAGGTAGATAGAGGACTTTAATACGACTGACAAGTACACAGAGAAGAAAGAATGGATAACTCATGACTGAAAAATGTGTAGAAAGAAACAGAGAGTAACTTAGAATGGTATTTAAAGCTGTTAGGTACACAGATAGAGAGAAACAGATGAAGGTTACAAGCAGCACCCACTACTGAAATAATAAAATAAAGAGACACGAGCTCAAAGTTAAGTGTTTATTTCAGTGGTTGTAGCCTTTCGCAACATTGGAGTTGCTACTAAAGCAACAAAAAACCAGTTTGTTGACTCCAGTATTAACACGACATTTTATCACACTTCTCACTTTATTAATATCTGATACCATAAAAACATTAATGAAGTTTCATTTGTTCGTTTTAACGCAAAGCTGAAGAATAGACAACCCCGTTGTAAATCTGTAAACTTACCGCTGATTCACTGTGAGACATTAATAAGGTAAGCACTGGATCTTTAAAACAAGTATCTAAAAAACGTCTTCTAAGAGGTTTAGTACAAGAACAAAAGTTACAAAGTATAAGTGACATTTCAATGCCCCCCCCACCCCCCCAGTGGCACAGCGGCATGTCTGCGGACTTACAACGCTAGAACCCGGGTTTCGATACCCGTGGCGGGCAGAGCACAGATAGCCCTTGTGTAGCTTTGTGCATAATTAAAAACAAACGAACAGACATTTCAATTAATATATTTATAAATGAAAAAATATCAGAAGATCGTGTAACATTTTATGAACATTTATAATACAGTTGTATAAAAATTAGGTAAAAAATGTTATTTCACACTTATCACAAGTGTTGAATCATAAGAAATCAAAAGAGCAATCACAGAAATTACACACCCCTTTTCGAAATTGCATACGTTAATATTGGATAACGTAAAATAACACCTTCGAAAATCCTTCTCAGATCCAGAATGATAAACGATCCGGATCATTTTTGTAGTGTGACGAGGAATCTCAACCTTAATGTGTTAATGTGCCCATGAAAATTGGTACAAATTCGATAAGAGTTTACAGAGTTATTAATCCAAAACCGCGAAAATGCCATGTATATCCATTATAAAAATGCTTCAAAGCAATCCAGAATCCGGATTTGTATCCGGAACAAATTTGGAGAGGATTGTCCCATACTGACTTTCCATCTTTTGTAAAATTTTCGTGTATATCGGTCTATTAGTTTTCGAGATACATGCGCGAGAACACAGACAGACAGATACACAAACACTTACCCGATTGCAATATCCCCCCACCTCTCCCCAAGGGCGAAGGTAAGTGTATTATCAGTGAGACAACAAATATATAGACAGCAAAGAACAACTGATATTAAATATCGGAAGACAAAGAAGCACTGTAGATGTTTGGAGAAAAGGTGAAATTGAGCATTTGAAATCCAACCCTGATACATGATAAACTGACAAACAGAGGAAGACAGGAAATTTGATACTTAGAAGCCTGGTGAGTATAAATTGTTAGAGAACTAACTACGGCAATAAACAGAGAGTTTTTTGTATGTGTGTATGTGACGATAGATTTCACCAGCTTTTGTAACAATAAAATAAAATAACGAAATAAAGAAATCTGATACACCTTTTGTTCTTTCAAACTCCAAAGTATTATATTAATATGAAAGAACTGTACGTGGCTCAGTTATAATAGGATGATTAACTTGAAAAGAAAAAACATGCGGCATGCTTCCGTCGCTAAAGAATCTGTACAGGTGTCGGAGGCTAGTATTAGTTTCACATCTTCAGAAAAAACAAACAAGACAAACATTGCTAGACTTTAGTTGGTATCTACTTAATTGCAGCCTTACTAGACTTAAACTGGCTTGATAACATAACTAAGCCGTATTAATTTTAAGCTGGTATGATAATCCAGCCTTACTAGACTTAAACTGGTTTGATAACATAACTAAGCCGTACTAATTTTAAGCTGGTATGATAATCCAGCCTTACTAGACTTAAACTGGCTTAATAATATAATTAATCCATACTAGTTTTAAACTGATATGATAACCCAGCTTTACTAGACTTAAACTGGCTTAATAATATAATTAATCCATACTAGTTTTAAACTGATATGATAACCCAGCTTTACTAGACTTAAACTGGCTTAATAATATAAATAAGCCAAACTGGTATGATAACCCAGTCTTAATACACTTAAACTGACTTGATAATAAAATTAATCCATAGTAGTTTTAAACTGGTACAATTACATAACCTAGATTTATGTAAGCTTATTTTTATGACTACGTTCCTCATAGGTCCTAGATTTCACACTGGTATTACAACAATTTTGGTAAAATTTAGTCTTAGACTGTCGTGATACGCTTCAGTTACACTAGACTAGTTTTTAAAGGTTACGTTTGGATATATAACAAGTTTTATTATTGTTCGCTGTTTTCTTCTGTATATAGAAATATAGTTTTCTACTTCTAATAGTTTCACAGTTTTGTGAGATTAAACTTAGTATGACAGTCAACATATTATAAATGATCTTTCTGAAAGATAAAAAATAAATATTCTTGTACAAAAATAGGGTGTTTAGTCGTTACAGCTTTAAATTCGAGTTGATTTACTACAACACGGTGCCATATATATTTCACGCCAGATTTAGTGTAAAGTCTTGTGTCTATATTTTGAATATAATTATTATTTCGACAGTTTATATGCTAAACAATCCCTAAGATAGTATTTTACTCATTTTCCTAACAACATGCTACGGTTTCGCAGTTTTCATCTTAACTACTTCGTAAAAAATGAAGAAAAATTTACCCATCTCACGAACAATAAATCATTGTTTAAGAATTGTGCATTTCAACCTTTTTACAAAATAATAAACTGATGCAAAAAATATATATATATTCTTGTGAAGAAAGCCTCTAATGTGATGGGCCGAGCTTGGTAATTTCCAGAAAAAAGAGTTAGCACTTTCTTATCAGAGTATAGACAAAAGCATTGCTAAGAAAACAACTGTCAGAGCAATCAGTACTTCCTGTTATTAATACCAAATACGTTATTCACTAGTACTATCTCAATGAGTATATACACACACACAAGGTTCGGTTAATCGTTTTTGTAGTGAAAGCGAGATATAATCGCTATAACTATTCTAACAACAACAGTGAGGAGGAAGATCGGAACTTGCGTTTATCAAATAACTGGAATGTTAACAATAAATGTTGCACTTAAATTAAAACTGAATTTCAACCAAATGCAAGTAAAAAATTGCCTTAAGTATCTTAAATTATAAAGAAATGGTTAATTCAATTTATTGCTAATAAGTGAAATCAAAAGTTAGTCAGTGGGAAAAAAAATACATACATATATATATATTATGAAATAAGAGTTCAACGGCTTAATCAAAGCATAACGTTAATATTTACGAAGACTAAAACTCTGTTTTAAATAGTATACGCTAATTAATGATCAGACACATCGAGATCGGGTAATTGAACATAAACTTTATCCCATTACCCAATAGACGCGTGCGTCAATTGTTCATTGAATTTGAATCATGTTCTCCCTGTCAGACGTGATTCTAGCCAAACAAAGAATGTGCCATTATTACATCCAAACAAAGACAACGGTAAGTCGCTGAAAAACATACTGACCTGTTGGGTGGGTCTGTACATTTCTCTCCACCTCTAATGGTTTTACTGGTTCGATGATAGAAGGGACAGTAGACTGGTAGGGAAATAACATTTATATGTCTGGTCTCCATGCTTTTCTTACCAAGTACACATGCTCTATGTGGACGTGATGTGCTGGCTTTTGTCTGTAGAGTCTGCAAAACTAACAGATGAACGTGCAGACGCTCTGGGTTACCTGCACGGAGTTTTCCCCGCGCTTTTAACAGAAGACAAAGTATGCTGACGATAAGAGAACCTAGAGGGCCAGCTGTTCGCTCGTGACGTAAGCTGTACGAAATATGACCAGGATAGCTCTTTCAACAGCTGTGTCTCGAAGTGCTCGACCAGAAATCGTGTAGTAGGAAGTGTGACGTCATAAAGTGGATCAATCCAAATCAATACACGACCTAAGCTGTAAATCCAAAAATAACCAGGAGCAATATTTACTGACGTCATATTATACTTTTATTTTCCTGGTTGCTCAAGAGAAGTAAATTAACATTTCTACTTTTAAGTTTTATATTCAAATAACTAGCCTAGTTTTCTTATTCTAACATATTCCGTTTTATTTTTTTATGAATCTTTCGCGTGTATATTAGCTTGACAAGATGTCTTCTTTTTTTCCCATCCAAATATACTCAAATAGAGATTGACACTAGATCAAAATGCCAAAACAACTCATAAGTTGTTTAACAAAACCCTTTTTAGCAAAACACGAAAAAGAAAATTAGTTAAGCCTTTGTTGTCGCTTACGACAGAATAAAATGCAACTTGAAACGTTTGTTAGAATTATTAAAGTTGGATATTTTAAGAGTTGTGCCTCAGACTAGCTATTACATATCTTATTTATGTTATGCATCATAAGTCGTTCAAAAACATAGCATTTTACCTTTCGAAGCTTTATTCTTGACAAGTTTATTGAAACTCTTTAAGATTAATACTACTTTCTACGCAAGCGTAACTAACTTCGCAAATCCAATCTAAAAGAGTTGGGATTTTAAGATAGGATTGGGACTTGAACTTCATGTCAAAAAAATATTTAAAACTAGCCAAAGTACTCAGCTTCACTTAAGTTGTTAGACTGATATTTTACTGGTCGACTGTGTCTGTGTGTGTATTTTGAACCTATTTTAGATATGAAATACAGCCAAAAACCTTTTCAAAGATTTTGTTTTCCCCAGAAACCCACAGAAGTTATTTCCTGAATTTCAAGAATAGAATGCAAAATTACATACTCAAATTTTGTAAAATAGACTTTATTTTCCGAATGTTCATGTACAATCCGAGGAAAATTTTTTAACTGTACTGTCTTTTCATGCGCCAAAATCTTCAACTGTTTTGTTTGATGTCATTTCCCGAACTTTATTTATTTAAACATTTTATAGTATTTTGAGGGCCTGTTCCATAGATTCCGGGAGGTTCTGATCCCTTTCTTTCCCTCCGTGTTGCGTTTGACTGGCTAAGAAATGTTTGGCCCATACCCTATTAAATTTTGTTTATTTTTGGTAACATATGTCCACTTTTCCCAATCTTTGGCCAATTTTGGCAGGTTTTTTTTTTACCATTTTGTTCTTTTTCAACAGTATCTGGCTGAAAACCTCCACATATTGTTCATTCAGTTAGTGAGAATTAGAAAAAATGATACTTTTCTATAAACCTTCAGAAAGCAGAATTAAAGGGCTACAGGACAAAAAATTGGCCTAAATATTTTTGATTGAAATCTAAAAAATAATACCAAGATGCACACCCTCAGAATCACCTTAGTATGCGTGCAAAGTTTCAAGTCTCTAGGTTATTTCCTCTTGGAGCTCTGGCGGTCACATACTCTTTTTTTTTTATTATAGATTTCCTAAGATTTTCTCTAAATAAGTTGCTCATTACATCATTATAAGGCTGAGGAATTTAATCTTACAGAATTAGTCATTTTGAGCAAAATATCATACATTTATACACAGTTTTGTTTTGATATTTAATTATACACATGGCACACTCTGTGATCCATCATCTCCAGAAGGGAATACAGAAGAGGCTCGTTATGCACATATGGCACCTTTTGACGCGTTATTATATCTGTCTTACACTGCACAAAAAGATTTAAAGGATAATTGGCAATTGTTATGTTATAACCATGATAAAGAAAATCAACTGTTAAGAAATAATGTCAGATCACTGTTATGCAAACCAATCATCTGATTATCAGTCATGTGACATGAAGAATGAATGATTGCTCGTTCAGCACATTAAATATGGCCTGCCATTGGATTGTACTGTATCTTTACAGCACAACTGTACTAAATTGTTATGTTATTCTAATGTTCTTGGGGAGAAGTTGCCTCTCTTGCTCCTACCCTTATAATTGAGGTCCCGGATTCAGTCTGTACTAGATATAGTTATATCTGCCTTATCTCTCTTGAAGTGAATCACAAAGTTTAAGGTTTTCCAAGTTTTTCATTAACCATGGCTACATTTCAGAAGAAGACATATCCGGATGTTCATTCATATTGAAACATCTGATAAAAGAAAACTGGAAAATCACAAGAGCTTGTTGCGAATTAATACAAGTGTTTCAGTGTTCTTAGCCGGTTGTTAAATCATTGACAACATAAGCAGACGATCACTGGCTGTAGGTTCGAATTAATTGCAATCGTAAAACTCCTGCTTCAAGATTAGATCAGATGTTTGCATCCGCAGTTGGATACCACGTCAGTGTACAGATTGTTAGAAGTAAACTTCACAACTTCACATGGTAAGACTGCCCTAGATGACAAACACCCAGTGAGATTTTACACTACGAGCAGAAACGCCGCCCGTAAGGCGGCTGTTATGTTAGTAATTACTAATCGTACCATTCATACGAAAAAAAAATTAAAAAGTGAACATTTTCTATAAACGAATTTTTTTTTTTCTGGGAAATACTGCATGGTAAAAATATTCGGATTGTCATACGCAACTCATTGATCAACATGATTCAATGTACAGAGCTTAAATTTTAGCCAATTTAGCTTATATAAATTGTACGTTTTTATATATTAAATAATTATATATTGTTGAAAAAGAATGTTTTTTTTAATAACTCAAGTTTTTCAGCACAACATTTAAAAATTACATCAATAAAGATATAATCAAATCCTCACGTACAGTCCTAGTGAAAATCGTGTTCTTGTTGTGAGGAGAGTGCTTTTATTTAAAATTGTGTTCTGTTATTAAGAAATGGTTGTTGCACATACCACAGTTATTTTTCTAACTGTTTGAATCTTGAATACCCAAAATGTGACACTTTTTTATGGATTTTTGTTTATGGTGCCATTCAGTAGATGGAGCAGAAGTTTTGGTTACATACATAAAATATTGACATACACGATACGTTTATTATAATAAGATGACGAAAACGACCATGAACTTCAGAACTAAATACAATGCAAAATAAAATGAATTTAAACTAAACAAAGCTTAATAAAAGAACTATATAAAATACAAAATAAACAGAATATAAAAAAGATTGAAATTCATCAGTATGGGAAATAAAATAAAACAACTTCAATATCAAATAAGATAATAGGACTCAAAAAAGTTGACTCAGCGCAGACATCTCGTGCCTCCTGGAAACCTGCGCGCAACGCACTTGGGGGTCACAACCTACCAGTTGAGAAGCACTGCTCTATACTATCTTGTATCTGTGGCAGTACTGTTCCAATTCCACTGTCACTGGCATTAGTAACCATGATAAACGAACAATTTTGAGGAGGTAGCCAAAACGGGTTTTTTCAGTCAATGCATACTTTATATACGGACTGAAATGGCTGACCACATTTATGTATCCACTCAGTACAGTTATCTTGAAGACTGTAGCTACAAACAACACATGGTATAACACCGGACCTAGAAAACTTCAGACTTTTCGGTTTCAGAATGGGTTCAGTCCTTGACCACTGCCGTATTTGCAGGATCAGTGATTATTCTGTCTCTCCCTAGCATATAACCAAGAAAAAAACGGCCTTTTTTTACACAAACTCGCACGTCCCTGATTATATTTTCAAGTCTGTACCTTTGATGCATTTAACTACTATTCTTAGGTTTTCAGCAGTGACTTAAAATGTGCAACAAGAACTGAAATTTTATTCATATAGATGGGGCATCTCTTCCATTGTAATACTGTAACTGTAAGCTCCAGTATCCTCCCAAAAAGTGGCAGGTGTGTTTCACAAACTGAAGGACATCAGGCAGAATTTTTACAGTATTATCAAGTATTCAAAGCTGTCTTTAATCCGATTTCATTATCCAGCTCGACTTACCAGTAGCCACAATCAGATCTAGCATATTGAACAAACGGGCAGGTACCTTCTAAGATGTCAAGACATTCCTAAATTAATGACAAAGGAAATAAATCAATGCACATTACTGCACACACCTGCTCAAAGTCCACAGGAAATCTTGACCTTCTATTTTTCTTCTTTCTTCCTCACAATAACTGATGGAGATGACAAATACTATTCTAAGTTTGTATTAATCCATCTTTCAGTGTCTATTAGGTGTATATGTTAACCACATCTTTTATGTTGTATAGAAGCCTTTATGATAGTTGTTTTATTGGATATGAATAGCCTGTATCAATGTGATGATACGTTATTGTTGTACTATCCAGATAGCCATCTGATCATACAAAAAATGTCAGCAAACTCCATAATTAGATTATTTAGTTTCTGGTAACACAGTTCCCATCCAACAATCTCAGATACTTGGGACGCCATACATTAATAGTGATAGCTGGTTTAGCATCTCTGATTTTGCTTCTGTGCCAATGACTGTTTTATATGGAAATAAAAAATGCAAACGCCCATAGTTAAATTCAGTACTGGAATAATTCCAGCTCTCAGATGACTTTTCGAGTAAATTCAGTCTGATTTCTGGACAGTAAACATTGTCTTTTATTTTTTGTTTGTACTACTACGAAAATGGTGACAATATATTATACTGCACCCAAAGCACGTGACAGAACACTATTTGCATATTAATGGACACTACAACCTCCTTCTCAATATGCATATGTGCAGTTCTCGGGCCTCAAGTGGTCATCAGTGGGTGTTTATTTTTACTGGAATACTTGTAGAAGCAAAATTGGATGAATACTTTGGCAGTAAGTCCATCACTAAGATACCAATGTCTAGACGAAAAGCAAAGACAGTAACTTTTATTTGGCAAGAGATAATGTCAAAACAAAGTTGCCCCTT